GATTTCAATCATTAATGTTCATGCCAAAAGCTCTATTGCGCATGACTTCTCGGAAAAAAGAAACAGAAATCTTTACAGACACTCAGCTGCTCTATTCCAAATTCAATGTTTGCATTGTGCAAACCAGTCCTGTGGCATACTGCTTTGAGGTTTGTCTCTCGCGCAATTCAGACGTGCTGATGATGCCCATGATTCTTGCAAATCATCCTATTTTGTTCGAAAATTTGAGCCGAAATCATGAATTTCTTGCAAAAGAGTATGTTCGTACGGTTCCTACAGCTCACCCGTCTCGCTTCACATGGTGAATTCTGTTGTTGTATTTGTCAAGGAAATGAGAATTTTCGCTGATCAGGTTCGTTGATTTAAGAGTGCAGCCGGAGCCGATTGAATAAGTCAGTTTTAACATTCAACAGAACGCGTCTCCATTATCACTATCACATTGAACACATACATTTAGTTAATTTTCAACACACTTTCAATTCCTTTCGTCTTTTTTTTCAGAAATATGAAACCCCATATACGAGATTCCTTTTTTTTAAAACAAACTTTCCATTCCCTTCGAAACAACAACAGCAACCTTCAAATCTATTCGTCTATTAAGACCGCGATAAACGGTATGTTTTCCGCTTATTGGATCATTCATGGAGTATTTTCACTATCACGTGATCGTTCGAATTTTCAATACTTGCAATCAGATAATCATTTCCGCAAAACATCATGCCTTCAGAATGGTCAACATTTGCAAATCTGAAAGTGTTTGAAGATGATTCACAGTAAGTTTATCTTTAACATATTTATTCAGTACACGAAACGATTATTAAGTATACTGGAACGGCCGTTGTGTAATGAATTAGCAGGGTGAGAGCCTCCGGGTGAACCACACTCCCTTCTACAATCTAGTTCTTTCCGTTTCCATTACCCCTGCTCATCGGGCTGGATGCAGCATGCTCTGATGTCCCACCGAAGATAGCTTCGCGGGATGAACCATGACGCTCGAATGCTTTACCATATATTTCCTTGCTTGATGAACCGCGAGTTTCCCAAACGCTTTGGGACTCGATTGATTCGTCGTGTGCTGGATAATTTTCAATCTCTTCTGATGCACCGTACTTTCCAGCATTATCAGCAGGAGTCGAGACACTGTGCTCTTCAGCTCTGCTTATTCTACCGCCAGTTACCTGGGATGATGACATGTATTCAGTGCCATCTCTGGTGTTCTTTCGTCGATTATTCTCATCGAATTGAGCAA